TAGTGTTTCTCACCCAAACATCATTTAAAATATTATTTAAGTCTCAAAACTGAGTAAAAATGGTTGAGTAGTAAAACAGTGGAAAATACCATGACTGAGTTCAAATAGTAAGTCGAAACAGTGAGGAAATATCAAATAAAAGCCCCGAGGGGTTCAAATAGTTGACACGAAGCCCAAATATGGCATTCAGCCCAATAAACAATGATAACAAATAGTTTTCAATCAAATATGCGGTAAAATCATCAATCGGGACGGACCAAGTCAAATCCCTGATAGTACACGATCCCACGCTCGCCATTGAGCGTGTACCTCACCTCAGTATAGTACTACGATGCACAATCCGGGGTTTCAAACCCTCAGAACATCATTTACAAGCATTACTCACCTCGAACCAGCTAAATCCCTAGCTCGCGATGCCTTTTCCCTTCGAATTGGCCTCCACGTGCGTCGAATCTATCAAAAATCAGAACGAATACGTCACAATGTGCTAAGGGAACAAAGCCCAAGCGAAAACAATCGAAAATACCAAAAAATCCCGAAATTAGCAAAACCCGAGCCCCGGGCCCACTTCTCAAAACTCAGAAATTTTCACATCACTAGATTCCTCGTCTTCTTACGAGTTCATACATACCAAGAACACAAAAATCGGAGTCCAAATGACCCCTCAAATCCCCCATTAAAAGCCTCTTAAACTCAAGCCCTAAACCTCCATTTTTAGCCCTTTAATCCTACTAATTACAGCCTTAATTCATGAAATTCTACCATAGAAATGTGTTTTTATGTCCAAAATCCTTACCTCAACGAAGTCTCTTTGATTCCTTTCCTCAAAATCGCCCAAAGCTCCCAATTCCGAGTTCAAAAATGGCTAAACCCTTCAAAAATCGCGAAGTATGAAATATATACCTTCTGCCCAGGCCTTTCCGCATCTGCGGTCCAAAATCCGCTTCTACGGTACCGCATATGCGGTCAATCCATCCGCTTCTGCGGAAATTCATTAAACCGGCCAAACCGCATCAGCGGCCCTTTTGCCGCATCTGCGACTTCGCAGGTGCAGTTCCCATACCGCATCTGCGGTTCCTGACCCCAACTCCTCAGACCGCATCTGCGCCTAAACTTCCGCACGTGCGACACGGCACCTGCGGTCCCCAAACCGCATGTGCGAAAATACCAAAAACAGCAATATCAGCTGCTGCAACAATTCACCAATCTCTCCGTTAACCCTCCGAATTCATCCCGAGGCCCCCGGGACCTCAACCAAAAGCACAAATATAACCCAACACCTTTCTCAAACTTATTCCAATCATCAAAACACCTCAAACAACATCAAATCTACCAAATCACAACGAATTCAAGCCTAAGTTCCTAAATTCTTCCAAAATACGCTTTTGATAAAAAATCCAATCAAACCACCTCCAAATGACCTGAAATTTTACACACACACATCCCAAATGACGTAACGAAGCTACTGCAACTCTCGGAATTCCATTCCGACCCCTATATCAAAATCTCGCCTATCAACCGAAAATCGCCAAAATCTCAACTTCGCCAATTCACGCCTAAATCTTCTCTACACCTCCAAAACCTATTCCGATCGCACTCCTAAGTCACAAATCACCTACCGAAGCTAACTGAACTATCGGAACTCACATCCGAGCCCTCTAACACATAAGTCAACATCCGATTGACTTTTTACAACTTAAGCCTTCTTAAAAGAGACTAAGTGTCTCCAACTTCACCAAAACCAATCGGGATGCAATCCAACCAACCTGATACCTCAAAACACAGATGAACAAAGCAAATAGCAGCAGAAATGGGGAAAACAAACCGGTAACTCAAGAGACGACCGGCAGGGTCGTCAAAAAAATAAAAAATAAAATATATATATATATATATATAATTTAACAAATTGCTATTTTATGCTTAATGAGATGATTTAAAGTCATATAAATGTTCAAGGCTTGTTGTAGACCATAAATTTTAAAAAGTATTTCTTTCTTTCTTAAACTTCGTGGGTAATCAAATGATGCCACATAAATTGAGACATATGGAGTAATTAACTAAAAAATATTTAGTTGCTTCATATCCTTAAGTTTTTTAATTTTCTCACTTGGTGTCCGATACAAGTTATTGCATCCTCATTAATCTGAATTCATGCCACCTAAGGTCTATTAAAGTATAAAATGCTCCCTACTAAAACTTTTTTTATTCCAAAACTCGAACCTTAGATCTCTATTAAGGATAAAAGGATCCTGTTTATCTCATCACAATCTTGGGTAATCTAATTTAATAAAGTAAGCCTAGAAAACATCCAAATGAAAAGGTTTATATATGTATTACATTAAAAAGGGTAGACATAATTAGTTAGAAGCACCTTTTGATATTGACTTGTATATTTTTGTACATGAATGCATTATGGAACCAAAATGCTTCCCCATGAAAGGAAATAATTCAATTTTCAAAAAAAGCCCTACTCTAAATAGTTATCCTACAAACATGTTTAACAAAAGGAAGACTTCCATTTGAACTATATTTTCTTTTTTGCATAAACTTAGATAATTCTTTTGGACCAGGTGTTTGGTATCGTAATTGTGGAATCAATTAATTTGGATTCGTGTAGCGTAAGGCCCAGTATATCGGAAATAATTAGGGTATTATTACTTTTAGCCCGCGCCATAAATTATGCCAAAATTTTACGGTATAGCCAGTTTTCGGACTAGTCAATCAAAAATAGCCAGCGTTTACCAAGTCAATGAAAAATAGCCACCGTTTTGCTGCAATAGAGACCGGTCCAGCATAATATACTAGAGTTCGGTGCACTTGTGTATGAACTCCAGCATATTATGCTGGACCGGTATACTTTGCTGGCTCCAGTATAATATACTGGAGACTGGAGCACTGGTGCTCCAAACTCCAGTATATTGTACTGGATCATTATACTTGCTGGAACTCCAGTATATTATGCTGGAGTTCTAGTGTATTTATGCTGGAACTCCATCATATTATGCTGGAGTTCCTGCATACTATCCTGGAACTCCAGTATAATATGCTGGAGTTCAAGTATACTTATGCTGGAACTCCAGCATAATATACTGGAGTATTTTTCGGGTTTTGAACAGTGTTTTCGCTCTGATTTATCTTTACATAAAAAGTGGCTAAATTTCGATTACTTTTGAAATTGGGCTATTTTTGAACGACCAGTTGTAAATCTGGCTATTTTTTTAAAATCACCCGCATTTGCAGGGTATGTAAAAATTGCACGTGGCGCCTTATTTGGTCGCCCCCATTTAACGATATACTCACTTTTTAAAAAAGTTTTAACTTGTACCCATTGTTTAAACAACTTTCAGGTCTCTTTTCCTCCTCCTTCTCCTTCTTCGTTTTCTGATGCTGAAGCTTGAG